CACCCCAGTGGGGACCCCTACCCTGAAGGGGCTGTGGGTAGCCTGAAAATGGCCCTCAGCCCCTCACCCAGGCTGGCCACACCCCCATGGGGTGAGGGTCCCCACTGGAGGGCTTGGCCAGCCTGCAAAAAGCCATCAGCCCCTAGCCCAGGCTGGCCAGGCACCCCAGTGGGGACCCCCATTCTAAAGGGGGTGTGGCCAGCCTAAGAATGGCCCTCACCCAGGCTGGCCAGGCACCCCAGTGGGACCCGCCCACGCTGAAGGGGCTGTGGCCAGCCTGCAAACAGCCATCAGCCCCTCACCCAGGCTGGCCAGGCACCCCAGAGGGACTCTCACCCTGATCCGGACACCCTTCAGGACAAACCAGCCGGCCCCCACCCGTGCACCAGGCCTCTATCCTATATAATAAAAGGGTAATATGCAAATTGAACCTAACAACAGAACGACTGGGAATGACTGGTCACTATGTCACACACTGACCACCAGGGGGCAGACGCTCAATGCAGGAGCTGTCCCCTGGTGGTCAGTGCGCTCCCACAGGGGGAGCTCTGCTCAGCCACAAGCCAGGCTGATGTCTACCAGCAAGGAGGCTTCCGCCTCCTTAGCAGTGCTAAGGATGTCCAACTGCAGCTTAAGCCTGCTCCCCTCTGGCAAGTTGACATCCCCCGAGGGGTCCCAGACTGTGAGAGGGCACAGGCCAGGCTGAGGGACCCCCCCTGAGTGCACATATTTTTGTGCACCAGGCCTCTAGTAGGATATAACTCTGGTAAACATATATGCACCCAATACAGGAGCACTCAAATACATAAAAATACTTCTGGAAGATATCAAGGGAGAGATCAACAGCAACACAGTCGTAGTAGGGGATTTTAATAACCCACTGACATCAATAGATAAATCCTCTAGACAAAAGAAACCAATAAAGAAACAGCAATTGTAAATGACTCACTAGATCATATGGACTTAATTGACATCTTCAGAACATTTCACCCCAAAGCCGCGGAATATACATTCTTCTCAAGTGCACATGGAACATTTTCAAAGATAGACCACATATTGGGTCATAAGCAAAGTCTCTCCAAATTCAAGAATACTGAAATCATATCAAGCATCTTCTCAGACCACAATGGCATAATATTAAAAATAAACTACAATAAAAACAATCAAAAAAATTCAAACACTTGGAGGCTGAATATCATGCTATTAAACAATGACTGGATTACCAAAGAAATGAAAGAAGAAATTAAAAACATCCTGGAAATGAATGATAATGAAAACACAGCAATCCAAAACCTATGGGACAGATTGAAAGCAGTCCTGAGAGGGAAGTTCATAGCATTACAGGTCTACCTCAAAAAACAAGAAAAAAAATGGCAATATATTATCTAACTCTACAACTTAAAGAATTAGAAAGAGATCAATAAGAAAAGTCCAGAGTGAGCAGAAGAAAAGAGATAATAAAGATCAGAGCATAAATAAATGACTTAGAGACCAAAAGAACAATACAAAAGATCAATGAAACCAAGAGCTTGTTCTTTGAAAGGATAAACAAGACAGATGAACCTCTAGCCAAGCTCGCCAAGAAACAGAGAATGGACCCAAATAAATAAAGTCAGAAATGAAAGAGGCGAAATAACAACAGATCCCACAGAAATAAAAAGGATTGTAAAAAATATACTATGAACAACTCTACCCCTACAAACTAAACAACCTAGAGGAAATGGACATATTCCTAGAAAAATATAACCTTCCAAAACTCCATCAAGAAGAATCAAAAAATCTCAACAGGCCGATAACTAAGGAGGACATTGAAGCAGTCATCAAAAAGCTCTGAGCAAACAAAAGCCCCGGGCCAGACAGCTTCACAGGGGAATTTACCAAAATTCAAAGCTGAACTAAAACCTATCCTCAGACTATTCCAAAAAATTCAAGAGGAAGGTGTACTTCCAAGCTCTTTCTATAAAGCCAGCATTACCCTATTTCCAAAACCAGATAAAGACACCACAAAAAAAGATAATTACAGGCCAAAATCCCTCATGAACATAGATGCTAAAATCCTCAACAAAATTCTAGCAAATCAGATCCAGCATTACATTAGAAAGATCACACATTATGACCAAGTGGGAATTATTCCAGGAATGCAAGACTGGTACAATATCTGCAAATCAATAAATGTGATATATCACATAAACAAACTGAGAGACAAAAATCACATAATCATACCAATTGATACAGAAAAGGAATTTGATGAAATCCAACACCCTTTCCTAATTAAAAAAAAAAAAAAAAAAAAAAAACTCAGCAAAGTGGGAATAGAGGGATCATACCTCAACATAATAAAAGCCTTATATGACAAACCTACAGTCAACATCATACTTAGTGGGCAAAAACTAAAACCATTTCCCCTAAGAACAGTAACAAGACAGGGATGCCCACTTTCACCACTCCTGCACAACATAGTACTGGAAATGCTAGCTATAGCAATCGGACAAAAAGACGAAATAAAGGACATCCAAACTGGGAAAGAAGTAAAACTGTCATTATTCACAGATGATATGATATTGTACATAGAAAACCCTAAAGATTCCATAAAAAACTACTACAATTAATAAATGAATTTGGCAATGTAGCAGGATACAAATTAACACCCAGAAAGCTATGGCTTTTTTATACACCAGTAATGAACTCACAGAAAGCTAAACAAATACACAAACAAACAAGCAAACAAATCCCATTTACCATTGCAACAAAAATATTAAGATACCTAGGAAGAAATCTAACCAAGGAAGTAAAGGACCTGTACTCAGAAAATTATAGGATACTGAAAAAAAGAGATCGAGGAAGACATAAACAAATGGAAGAATATACCATGTTCATGGATTGGTAGACTCAACATCATTAAAATGTCCATACTACCCAAAGCAATCTATAGATTCAATGCAATCCCATTAAAATACCAACAGCATACTTCAAAGACTTAAAACAAACTCTCCAAAAATTCATCTGGAATAAAATAAAGATCCCGAATAGCCACAGTAATCTTCAGAAAGGAGGACAAAGTTGGAGGGATCACAATACCAGATATCAGCTATACTATAAAGCCATTGTTCTCAAAAATGCCTGGTACTGGCACAAGAACAGACATATAGACCAGTGGAACAGAATAAAGAACCCAGAAATTGACCCAAGCCATTATGCTCAATTAATATTTGACAAAGGAGGCAAGAGCATACAATGGAGTCTCGACAGTCTCTTCAATAAATATTGTTGGGAAAATTGGACAGGTACATGCAAAAAAAAATTAGAACACCAACTTACACCATTCACAAAAATAAACTAAAAATGGATAGAGGATTTAAACATAAGGTGGGAAACCATAAAAATCTTAGAAGAAGCCATGGGCAACAAAATAGTAGACATTTTTTGTAGCAATATCTTTACTAATACAACTCCTAAGGCAATGGAAACTAAGGAGAAAATAAACAAATGGGACCACATCAAAATAAAAAGCTTCTGCATAGCAAAAGAAACCATCAACAAAACAACAAGAAAGCCCACTGCATGGGAGAACATATTTGCCAAAGTTATCTCTGATAATGGTTTAATCGCCAAAATTTATAGGGAACTCATACAACTAAACAAAAGGAAGATAAACAATCCAATAAAAAATGGGCAAAGGACCTAAATAGATAATTTCAAAAGAAGACATACAGAAGGCCAGGAGACATATGAAAATATACTGAAAGTCTCTAATCATCTGAGAGATTCAAATCAAAACATCAATGAGGTACGATCTCACATCTGTCAGAATGGCTATCATCAACAAATCAACAAATGACAAGTGCTAGAGAGGATGCGGGGAAAAAGGAACCCTCATTCATTGCTGGTGGGAATGCAGACTGGTGCAGCGACTGTAGAAAACAGTATGGCGTTTCTTCAAAACACTAAAAATGGAATTTCCATTTGACCCTGTGATCCCACTTCTAGGAATATATCCTAAGAAAACAGAAACACCAATCAGAAAGGATATATGCACCCCTATGTTCATAGCAGCACAATTTACAATAGCTAAGATTTGAAAACAGCCTAAGTGCCCATCAGCAGGTGAGTGGATTAGAAAACTGTGGTACAGCTACACAATGGAATACTATGCTGCTGTAAAAAAGAAGGAATTCTTACCATTTGCAACAGCATGAATAGAACTGGAGAACATTATGCTAAATGAAATAAGTCAGTCAGAGAAAGATAAATATCTCATGAACTCACTCATTTGTGGAATATAATGAACAACATAAACTGATGAACAAAAATAGAAGCAGAGTCATTGAAGCATTGAACAGACTGCCCAACTTATGAAGGAAGGCGGGGAGTGAGGGGGTAAGAGATCAACCAAAGGACTTGTATGCATGCATATGAGCAAAACCAGTGGACACAGACTCGGGGGGAGGGGAGGGCATGTGCTTGGGGCAGCTGGGGAGAGATCAATGGAGACTTATGTAATACTTTTAACAATAAAGAATTTTTTAAAAATCAATGGGAAAAATATCCTTAGGTGAGGATTAACAAAAAAATAAAATAAAACCAGCATTTTGCACCTGTCTCTAGAGCATGATATGTCACAGAATCCATAGGGATAATTATACATTCATATTAAATTTTAAGTCTCTAATCTAATTTTTTTAAACCCCCTACTCTAATTACAAGCTCTTAGATTTGAGAAAAAATAAGAAGCACAAAATATAGAGGTGGCTTTATCTTACAAACACTAGGAAAAGCTCCTCGGGACTAAACCAGAGACCTGATGTGAGCCCCCAGAGGAACTGAACCCACAGAGGCACGGCTCTGCAGCTGCAGGCCCAGACCTGCCCTCCTACCCTCATTGCTTTGCATGTTCTCCCCAGAGTCCATTTCTGCTCTTCAAAATCCTAATAAAAAGGGATGCTCAGTGATTCTGTGCAAAAAGAAAAAGAGAAGAGCCTCAGGAACAGCCTGAATTGAACATGGGTTTGCTGAGTCAACTCTTCTGCCTTCTATTTTGGCTCCCAGGTAAGGAGAGGACTATAGGAGGCATCCCTGAGATGATGAAAGTCCCACTTCCTAACTGAGGTCTTCCCAGGGTCTCTGGATCTCTGGCCTGTGGTCTCCCTCAGAGACCCAAGTGCTCTCAGGCCAGGGAACCAGGGCAGCTAGACTCTCCTGGAAGGAAGACGGGTGGGATGAGTTAACATGGGTGACTGTATGTTCTTCTTCCTTTCTAGCTGCCACCGGAAGCACTGTGTTGAGCCAGTCCCCGGCCCTCCTCTCTGTGTCTCTAAGAGAGAGTGTCTCCATGACTTGCAAGGCCAATCAGAGTATTAGTGATTACCTGACCTGGTACCAGCAGAAACCAGGTCAGGCTCCTAAACTTCTCATCTACGATGCTGATGACCCATATACTGATGTCCCTGCTAGGTTCACTGAAATTCAGTCTGGAACAGAATTCATTCTCAAAATCAGTGAGGTGGAGGCTGATGATGCCGCCACTTACTACTGTCAGCAGGATTATTTAGTTCCTCCCACAGTGTTACAGTCCTGAACACATACTATCCTCCCAGGCTGCTTGTATGGTGACCGCAGGTGGGTCCAGCAGCTGCAATCTGTCCTATAGTCTGTTCACATGTGATGGTCTGTTTTTGGGGAAGGTTCCACAGGGCTCATGGGCAAAGGCCTGCAAGAAACTTGAGTACTTCAAAAGCTTCCTTTCTTGATGACAGAATCACCAACCCTTCTAGTTCAGAATTGCAAAAGATTTGTTTACAGCATGGTCTGTGCATCTCTTTTCTGAGAAACACTCTGAAAATTGTTTATAACGACAGAGAACTAAGGAAACAAAGAAGCCCACACCCAAGGAATTCTACTACTACTGCTACTACCACCACTACCACTACCACCAGTGACACTAATGCAAACAATAGTAACAGCCACAATAACTACTCGGCCAGTTCGTGTTTACTGAAGTCTTAAAGACTCACCATGTGTTGAATACTATTCTAAGGGCTTATTTATTTGTTGTAATTAATCTCTAACAATCCTCTACATATGAGGCATTAGATACTCAGAGCTTAGATTACTCAAAGTACCAGTAGTTGTAAAGAAAGAAAATGGAAAAAGAATCTATTATTCTGACTCCATAATTCCTACTCATTAATTAACTCATTTGTTTAAAAAAATTTAGATACAACTAAGTTCATTTCGTGTATATAAATGAATTTCAAGTGTTCACTGGATGAACATGCACATGTGCATACCCTCCCAATGACCACTCCCCAGATTAACATGTCCACAGCCAGCATCCCAAAAGGTCCCTCCCGCCCTAACCGGTTTTGCTCAGTGGATAGAGCATCAGCCTGCGGGCTCAAGGGTCCCAGGTTCGATTCCGGTCAAGGGCATGTACCTTGGTTGTGGGCACATCCCCAGTGGTGAGTGTGCAGGAGGCAGCTGATCGATGTTTCTCTCTCATCGATGTTTCTAACTCTCTATCCCTTTCCCTTCCTATCTGTGAAAAACCAATAAAATATTTTTTTAAAAAGTCCCTCCTCTTTTCCTGCCAGGTACGTGCTGCCACCAGTGCTAGAGGCCATTACTGCTCCCTTTCTGTCTATATTGATTTTCTTGTTTCTTGAATTTCAAACAAATGGAATCGATGTGTCTTTTGAACTTTGTCATTAGTGTGGCAGTAATTTGTTCCTTTGTACTGCAAAACAGTTTACTATTATAAATATATGACAACCAATTTATTCATTCTTCAATGAGTTATTTTCAGTTTGAGACTGAAATATTCTTACAATGTCTTTGTGGACATATGCGTTCACTTCCTTGAGGTGTACTCCTGGGAATGGAAGTCTAAATCATAGGTTTGGCATAGATTTGGCTTTAGTTAACACTGCCAAATCATTTTCCAAATGATGGGCATTAAAATCCATTAATCGTATAAAATTTCAGATGCAATAGTACTTATTGTCAAAGTTTTTATCGTATTCATACTAGAGACCTGGTGCATGAATTCATGCACGGGTGGGGTCCCTCAGCCTGGCCGGTGATCAGGGCTGATTGAGGGGTGGGGGGTGGCAGCCGGGGGGAAAGACCACAGGAGGTTGGCCCCAGCAGCAAACTAATTGCGGAATCATGCCCCCTCCTCCCTCCTGTCTGGGTCTGGGGTGCAGGTGAACCAGATTCGGGGCTATCAGGGCCCCAAAAGCAAGGTCTGGGTCAGTGCGTATCATAGCTATCAGCCAGTCATTCAGTCATTCTGGTCACTCAGTCGTAACTGTCACTTAGGCTTTTATATATATAGACTAGGGGCCCGGTGCACGAAATTCATGCACTGGGTGGGGGGGGAGTGTCCCTCAGCCCAGCCTGACCCCTCTCACATACTGGGAGCCCTCAGGGGATGTCCTATTGACGGCTTAGGCCCGCTCCCTGCTCCCCTTGGGGAGCAGGCCTAAGCCGCAGTCTGGCCTCCCTTTGTGGGAGGTGACAGGGCTGATCAGGGGAAGGAACCAGCCCCATAACCCTGCTGCTGCAGCCACTGCCAGTCACCGCAGCCACCAAGGTTTTTTCATCAACACGGACTCCAGTCCCTTCACCATGAAAAAATGACAACTTTCTTTAGGCATTTTCAAGATGTGTCTTTCATATAATAATAATTTCTTTATTATTTTTTTATCCTCACCTGAGGATATGTTTCCATTGATTTTTTAGAGAATGTGAAAGATAAAGGGAAAGACAGAGAGAAACATCAAAATGAGAGGAACACTTTGATTGGTTGCCGCCTACATGAGCCCTGACCTGGGCCCAGGCCAAGGAGGAGCCTGCAACCTAGGTACATGCCCTTGGTCAGAATTGAACCCAGACCCTGCCATCAGCAGGTCAAGGCATTATCCACTGAGCCAAAGTGGCTAGGGCAGGATATGACATTTCTTAGCCCTCCAGCAGCAGACCTTCGTTTTTTTCACCAGGACTGTGATGAAAAACCCTAGATCACCGTTTTGGATTCTTATTACCCAAGTTACTAAGAATATTACCAGTGGCATACAGGGAGCTTAACCAATGAGCGGTCAGAAAAGGTGCTTCCTCTGTAGTTCACACCAATCGGCTGCTTGGCACCCCACCCACCCCCGCCCCAGGTTTGATGCCTCTGGCCCAGGCTTCAGGCCTGGGCAGGGGAACCCCATCTCCCCCAATCACGGGCTCCACCCTTGCCAAGGCCTGACGCCTTGGCCAGAGGCGTCGACCCCCATCACCCTCCTATCGCCAGATTGGTCCCTTGCCCAGGCCTGACGCCTCTGCCAGAGGTGTAAGGCCTGGGCAGGGGACCCCCATCTCCCCCCCCATAGCTGGCTCCGCTCCTCCCCCCCACCCCCCCCACCCCCCCCCGCCCAGGCCTGACGCCTCTGGCCCAGGTATCAGGCCTGAGCAGGGGACCCTCACACCCTTCTGATTGATGGCTCCACCCCCTGCCCAGGCCTGACGCTTCAGCCAAAGGCGTTGACCCCCATCACCCTCCAATCGCAGGATTGGCCCCTTGCCCAGGCCTGACGCCTCTGCCAGAGGTGTCAGGCCTGGGCAGGGGACCCTCATTTCCCCCTGATCACTGGCTCTGCCCCCTGCCCAGGCCTGATGCCTCTGGCCCAGGATTCAGGCCTGGGCAGGGGACCCCCCTCTCCCCGCGTCGACCCCCATCACCCTCCGATCCCCGGATCGGCCCCTTGCCCAGGCCTGATGCCTCCACCAGAGGTGTCAGGCTTGGACAGGGGACCCTCATCTACCCCCGATCACTGGCTCTGACCCCTGCCCAGGCCTGATGCCTCTGGCCCAGGTGTCAGGCCTGGGCAGAGGACCCCCATCTCCCTCTGATCGCCTGCTAGACCTCCCGCCCAGGCCTGACGCCTCTGACCCAGGCTTCAGGCCTGGGCAGGGGACCCTCATATCCCCCCAATCACTGGCTCCGCCCCCCACCCAGGCCTGATGCCTCTGGCCCAGGCGTCAGGCCTGGGCAGGGGACCCCCAGCCCCCTCCGATTGCTGGCTCTGCCCCTCGCCCAGGCCTGATGCCTTGGCCAGAGGAGTCGACCATCTCACCCTCCGATCTCCAGATCGGTCCCTTGCCCAGGTCTGAGGCCTCCGGCAGAGGTGTCAAGCCTGCGCAGGGGACCCCCAACTCCCACCATCCCCAGCTCTGCCCCTGCTACCCACGATCTCTGGCACTGCCCCTGCCCAGACCTAAGGCCTCTGGTGGAGGCATTAGTCCTGGGAAGGGGACCCCCAGCTCCCTGGGATTGCAGGCTCTGCCCCTGCCCAGGCCTAATGCCTCTGGCCAAGGCGTTAGGCCTGGGCAGGGGACCCCCAGCTGCTCACAATTGTTGACTCCGCCCCTGCTCCCCGCGATGGCTGGTTCCACCCCTGCCCAGGCCTAACGCCTCTGGCCAAGGCGTTAGGCCTGGGCAGGGGACCCCCAGCTCCTACGATAGCTGATTCTGCCCCTGCCTAGACCTAACGCCTCTGGCCAAGGCCTTAGGCCTGGGCAGGGGACCCCCAGCTCCCCGGGATTGCAGGCTCCACCCATGCCTAGACCTAATGCCTCTGACCGAGGTGTTAAACCTGGGCAGGGGACCCCCAGCTCCCTGCAGTTGCAGGCTCCACCCCTGCCCAGGCCTAACGCCTTTGGCCAAGGCCTTAGGCCTGGGCAAGGGACCCCTAGCTCCCCAGACTGCCAGCTCCGCCCCTGCCCAGTTCCTATTGACAGCTCCACCCCTGCTTCCCACTATCACTGGCCAGGGCGGTAAAGCTGCCCGGTTCTCCGATCACGGCTTGGGGGCAGGGCAAAGGTGGCCTCTGGGGCCGCCTTTGCCCTGCCCCCCAGCTCTTAGCTCCCCCCTGGGTTTCCAATCACCATCAGTGGCAGGGGGCTTCTTCTGTCCTTTCCCTTTCACCTCCCAGCATTGTGCCTACATATGCAAATTAACCGCCATCTTTGTTGGCGGTTAACTGCCATCTTAGTTGGCAGTTAATTTGCATATCACCCTGATTAGCCAATGGGAAGGGTAGCGAAGTTACGGTTAATTACCATGTTTCTCTATTATTAGATAGGACTAGAGGCCTGGTGCACAAAAATTTGTGCACTGGCTGGGGGGAGGGTATCCCTCAGCCCCACTTGTGCCCTCTCACAGTCTGGGACCCCTCGGGAGATAACAACCTGCTGGCTTAGGCCCACTCCCAGGTGGCAGAGGGCAGGCCCAATCTCTAGGTGCAGCCCCTGGTCGGGCTCAGAGCAAGGCCAATTGGGGAGTTGGAGCGCCGCCCCCTATCATGCACAGAGCAGGGCGGATCAGGAGATTTTGATGCCACCCTCAGTCACGCTCAGGGTAGGGCCGATTGGGAGGTTTGGGCGCCGCCCCCTGTCACACTCAAGGCAGGGTCGATGGGGAGGTTGTGGCGCCACCCCCTGTCATGCACAGAGCAGGGCCCATCAGGGGGTTTGGGGCTCCATACACTGTCACACACAGAGCAGGGCCGATTAGGGGTTTGGGGAGCTCCCCCATGTCATGCACAGAGCAGGGCGGATCAGGAGGTTGTGATGCCACAGTCAGTCACACACAGAGCTGCAGGGCGATCAGGGGGTTTGGGTGCTGCCCCCTGTCACACTGCTCCAGGGGCCAGGAGGCCTCGTGGCTCCGCTGATCCCACTGCTAGGAGGCCTCACTGCTCCGCTG